ATTTTTGATTACTGTTTTTATTGTATTTTAATTGGTTTTTACTCTTATTTATTGTAAACCATCTAGAGTCACTTGTTGAGTGAGATGGGTGGTGACTAAATTTGAAAAATAAACAAACAAATAAATATTATATTCTACTGGCAAATTTGTTCTCCTCTATTTTCACCTCTTCTTTCTCAAGAGATTCCTTTTCAACTGAGCCACATATGATGTAAAAAAGTTGAAATGAATAACTTTGCGGCAAATATAATTGTATTAGGAAATTGCTACAAGCCTGGCTTTTTGTAAGAATGTAAGACTTTTCTAAATTTATGGGAATTTTAATTACTATGGGTCAAACATAGTAATTTGGGTGGAGTTCCAAACTCTAGCTCTTGTCCAAGGTAGCCCTGTCCTTAATAAGCAATCAGATAGGATCACATGGAGATGGCCTTTTAAGCTTGATGTTTTGCCAGCTACATCAACATATTTCAGCAGTAATTTTTTCACCCAGAGTTAGAGTTACCAACTAAAAGTCTTTACTATATTCAGTGCTCTTACCATTATCTGCAGAAGAATAAAACCTGGTTGTCCTTGGACAAAACATATGTCTTTAGAAACAAGGCACAAGGCAAAAGGCTGCTACAATTTGAAGAATTATGACTCAAAAAGTTGACAGTCTGATCATACAGGTTCATCTGCATAGTTTTGTTCTATTGGTCTTCCTAGCATTTTAAGGGAAATTAGGTGCTTTCATAGGATAACTTTTCCATAGTTCCAGTATTTACTAATATGACTGAAGAAATATTTTGATTAAAAGCAGATTAGCTATACTAAATTTGTACTTTAAATATTCATCAGTTCAACACCCTCAAACTGATTTAGTAATTGCAGACTTTACTAGAATTAAGTTAGCGTAGGGTAGGTATTAAATATTCTGATCTCTGCACTAAAAATGACAGGTTTGGTACTAAAATCTTATTTATTTGATTTATATAGCTGCTCATCTCACAACAGTGGCTCTAGGCATGAACAGAGGATTAAAACCAAAAAAAAAAAAAAAGCAATACAATTTGCAAAAATAAACACCTCCAAACAATAAAATGAAATGTGTCTAGAGGTCTAAAAAAAAAATCAAAACAGTCCAGTTCTAATCAATAAGATAAGAACTAAGAAATCATCTGACAGGCTTGCTTAACCTGCACAACAGCTGCACTAGAGGAAGAAATGTTTTTGCAATATTGTCTTCCAGAAATACGCAGAAGCTATGAAGCATTTCACAACAGGTCCCACAATTGAAGATTGCAGAATTAACAGATGCAGTATTTCCTCAAATTGGAATATGCTCCTAGTTGATAGGAGAATAAACACTGCATTAAATACACCCCTCCACTGTTGTTCTTTGCTTAAAGACTGACCTCATTTTCATTTCATCATGGTTGACATGTAAACTGCCCCAAGTGAACTCGTGAACTGCAGTGTTTAGATCCAATGTGTGAAATGTGCTTTGGATTCAGCACGAGCACATTCACTGTACTTGTCAGTGGCCCTTTAAAGAAGCCCTTCACACAACAGCTGTGCACAAGCATGACTGTGCCAGATCTGAAGCACCTTTCCTGCTCAGAATTTGAATACCTGCACACCCCTAAAGTGAACCAGGGTTAGCAAACAGTTCATCCCCAGCTTTGATATGAAACCAAATACAATGCACAATTATATGTTTTCTGTCAAACTCACATTTTCATGTTTCATATGTTTAAGCAGTCGCAGTTCGCGGTAGGTCCTTTTGGCATGTATGATAGACTGAAATGGTCTGGACAACTTCTTCACTGCCACACGGAGGCCAGTTTTAGCATCAAAGGCCGAGCTACAAAACATTATTTTAAAGAAAGTATTAAGAAGGTAATCAGTATTAACAGTTTATTATGAAAAGGTTATCATTATCATTCTTTTGAGAGAATTTAACTAAGTAACTAAATAACTTTGTAACTTAGAATATGAGCTCCAAAAGAAGTTGAAAATTTGTGTCAGAGTAAACTTGGAAAAAGAATCACTTATCAGTGTAGAGAAAATATATTAAAATGAATAATCAGAATACTTCTGCATACATATTGATAAGTTTGGAATTATGTTAGCTATACAAAGAAAGAATGGAAAATTTTGCAATCATGTAATGACTAATACCACAAGAGATATGACAATGACTTCCTGTAACCTCCTTGAATATTTCAACTCAAAATTCACATATTGTGACATTTCAGAAACAAGAGCTCCCTGTATCCATCTTGAAGCATGTGCAGACACATGATGTGTGCCTCACAGCATGCCAGTTGTGGAAATCAAACTACTCCACAAATCCCTAGATTAAGTAACTTGCTCAGAAATATCTAGATACTGGCTTTTCAGTCACCTGGAAGCACTAATGCTGAATATTCATTGTCATGGTTTCTGATCTAATCACATTGGCAGGCAACTTTAAAGAGATACAGTACATTCATTTTCACACATTAAAAAAATCCAGACCATATTTTTGTAATGATTACTAAAGAGCAAAAAGTGCAAAGAGAGCAAGAACCACCTGTCAGATGAAACATACATATCTGACTACCCTAACAGTTCAGTCAGAAATAATTTGAGTTATATTTGAATAGAAAAGGCATTTGTCAGAATACATTTCAAGACACAATTTCATTATAGCAAGCCAATACAGGCAACAAATAGCTCAAATTTCTGTTTGTTCTCTGTTAAAATGTATCCTAAAACTACCCATATCATTTTAGCAATAGAATGATATGAATAGAATAGAAACTGAACAGAAAATCTTTGTTCACTCCCCCCCAAAGTCTGCAATGTCTGGACTAAATTTGAGACATAATCCCTTATGTGTTATTAACCACACTGAACTGAACCTAAAAAGAGACATTCCTGCAAGGGATACTCAATTATTTAAGGCTGGTAGATGTTCTCGCAAAATGGCTGACCTGGTACAGGAAAGGCTGATGCCACATAACATTAATTCACCTGATTCCTCATCACGCCAAACTTGCTAATTCCCACAGAATGGTCCATATCATCACTAATCAGCTTATCCTCATCCTTTTTTATAGGCAGGCAGATAGTTTTTATTTTCTAAGAATGCTTCTGAGGTCTAATATGAAGCCTAGACCCATTTTTTCAATTAGAAAAATAAAATATTAATGCCTGGCATTTTGCTTTATCAGCTTACAAGGAATGCAAAACCTACCATTACTCCTCTGGGCCATGCCAAACTAGCCATTCCTGGAATGGTTTACCAGAAGTTAATTGTCTGAAATAGAAAAGTTTCTGGTCTTGCAAACATGGTGTTTCAGGGTTGGACCTCTTCTAGAACACCAAGAACCAGTTCTGGTTTGAAAGATTAACTTTTGGAAAATTGCCAAATTACTCTCAGAATGGCTGCACTGGCATGTTTAAAAAGTTCAGGGAGGCAGGCAGCCTAGTGGACACCAAATGCAATACCCATGCATAACAGAGTAAAGAACACAGAAATATGCTGTGGGTATCTTCTGCGCAATAGCCAAGTGGTCTATGCAAGGTATAAATATAGGAATTTATATTGACTGCATTTGGATGACCCGGCTACAATGAAATTGGATTTACTACAAATGAATCCAATAATTTCTTCCTCTGGCTGTTGTTTCAGATTCTTACAACAAGCAATCTTAAATGAACAGATAGATACCTTGTATGCTTACTTGTATGTTAACCTGGATTATTCAATCTGTCTAAATGATTTAATTATTCTTAACTGATCAAATTATATACTGGAATGTAGTGGATAAATCCTTAATATTGATGCTAAACCACATGCAAAGTTACTGTGCTTTATACCAGGCAACACACTAGCA